TATAGTATTAGAATTTTCAAAGCAACTTATAAATCTGAAATACTTTTCATCTGTTTGCATTATTTGTCGGAAAAATTGTGTGCAGATGATTCAAGCTACATTCATACATACATAGCAAAAGATGCGGAAATATGATATCGTTACGCCACTTAATGAAAGGAACGTTGCTGATACGGTACCCTTTTTTGATTAGAGAAAAGCTTTGGTAAGACTTGCTTACAAAAACAAATTCTAGTCCGTTATTTAATAATAATTGTAAGTTTTTCTATGTATATTACAGGATCTGACCAGCGTTAATCAAAATTATCAAGGCCCGTGGAGGAAAAGCCAGAATATGTACATATCTTTCAGTTATTAAGCTTTGTAACTAATTAATACATATGTAAGTATGTCTACATCCCACTGGGAAAATACGTAAGCACCTTGCGAGGTAAGCCATGTTTTCTTTCAGTTTTTAGTACCAAAATTGTCATCATGGCCAATGTCATCTACTAGTAAAGGGCAAAATGAACACCTCCGAAGACACATTACGTTGTCAGTTGCAAAATAACGTGCAGCCGAAGTTATTTCCAAGCACCGAACTACTCCGAGCGACTGCTCTGCATTACACGTAACTTACTTTGTAAAGCGGCTCAGAAGTATGTCTGATACCAAATGTACATTCTAAATTCCAACTTACATAAGGCGGCCATGCCTTTGTAAAAGTAAGGGACGTTCGGCAGGGAAATGGTAATGACTGCCAGGTGAAGAGTAAGTTGCTAATAAGGTATTATTACGTGCTCCTAATTCCCACTGGGATATGTACATATATCAATAAATGTATGACAATGTATAGTTTTAAATATCAAATGACTTTGTGTTTTAATCAAAATAGAAATCCAAAATCATATTTGAAAACGCATATTTTGGAATATATGTAAAATAAAAATTTTAGAATCTCATCTGAATATGAGAATTTCCAACTATCAAACGATCGTTTTAAAAAGCGATTTGAAAATGTTCATTTTAAAAACTAAAATATACATTTTAGAATATGAATTGAGGATGTTTTTTTCTCAAAACTAAAATAAATATTGTAGGTGCAAAACCCAGGTCAAAACGTTTTTAAAAGTAAAACGTTCCATACAAATTTGAAAACGTAAATTTCTCTGTGTATATTGAATTTTTGAAGAACAATGATACGCAGTAATTTCTCGCGGAAATACTACTTTTGTTAAGTTATTTAAAGCGGCAAATGAAAAAAATCTTAGACGTGAATTGTTGGTGAAAATGTTGGACCAAAAAGTTTCAATAAACAAAAATTTATTTTGGTTTGGACAGATTTTGAGAAAGGGGTAGCAAGTTTCTTAAGGTATGATATTTGTTCCGACCCATCAGGTCAAGAAATCGGACACAACAATTCAATAGTTCAATCGGAGGAAATCCCAGAGGAGCTGGTAGCTTGTGGTAGTGATTTTATCATAATGGCCCCTATTATGAGTTGCATTCGATCTTCGACTGTGGTCGAAAGTGCTGATCGAAGGAATTTGGTATTATGGCGCTCACTCGATGAAGAACAGCGCTAGTTTGAATTTCACTCGTTTAGGTTGTTCACAATAGTATATTTTTTCAACGCTTAGAAGCTTTGTTTACAAATCGGGCAAACTAAACGATGTCTGAATTAGGTATCCCCATGAAACTAATACGGCTGTGTAAAATGAAGCTGAGCAA